TTTAAAGTGTCGTGGCTTGTATATTCACATACAGAACAACAATACGATACGTACGTAACCACCGTTTACGACTTTTTTGCGTTACGACGACAGACTGTCAAGACAATGGGAAGAGCCAGAACGATTGACGTCTGACGATAAATAAAATGTCATAATAAAAATGTGACGACAGATAACCGCAGCTACTATAGTCATCACGTTTTATTTATCGTTGTCTTTATCTGCAAACGACAAGACTGCCGTGAAACGATAAAAAGTCCACCACCCTGTCACGACAGATAGTCGTGATGTGAGAACAGGTTAGATGCGACAGTCGTCCAACGATAAATAAAACGTTACGACATGACGCGAACGCGCCCTAAGTCGTGCACTTGCCGGTAAACGACATGCCTATCCATCACAGTTGCAGTGTCACTCAGAACTTTAAATCGCAAAGATCTGAGGGGCACTGCCACTCGTCACCTTGAGACATAAAGTTGACAAGGCCTCGTGTGCCAGCACCTTTCAAAACCTTAACGGCAGCAAAAATGGTGGCAGTACTTCCCTGAACGAATTTTTTCACAAGGAGCTGTATTGCTACAGCATAACAGTGTTTTTATTACACATACCGTTGTACGCGGATAGGCTCCAAAGCATAGAACCAAATATGAGAAGACCTGAATGTGGGAAATATGAAAGGGTGATCAACGGCCTGCAAAAACCATAATATACACAGACATATATCTAAATAGACGCCGCAAGTGTACCACACAATGCACAACTCACAATGGCGCAAAAGTCGAAACATTGCGACGCGTCATGTTTTTCGCCTATAGCATATTCATCTCTATTTTGTGTTATGCGGTATGGAATCGCGATCACTGTGATGCGGGGGCGCTAATGTGAGTTTCGCCATGCGTTGTAGTTGAAAAACAGGACGCGACGCGACGCTTGGACTCTTCGCCATTACGAGTTGAGCCTTAGGCTCAATTTATATTGTGGCGGAGCGGAATGCAAGCGAATTTTTGTAACGATATTGTACATAGCATAATGAACTTAATGATCAATTCTGTAACGTACAAAGTAGAAACGAGTCAAAATCTTCCGCGCAATTCGCAACACAAATTGAGCCTTAATTGCCGCTACTATGATTCAGAACGCGCCCGGCCGTCATCATACAAATACAAATATTCTTTATTGCACACGGACGAATACATAATAACTATACAAAAAAAAGTAAAAATTACAGGTACAACAGGCGGCCTTATTGCTAAATAGCAATATCTTCCAGGCAACCTTCGGGTTACAGGAAAAACTGCAAAATAAAATTATTTGAGGACGCAACAGAACACATATATTGCACAAATGTAGAAGAAAATGAAATAACTAAATAATAATAGTAATAATAATAATAAATAAATAAAATAAATAAATAATAATAACCCACACACTCAACATAGCCCCGCATTAGGGAAACCCTGTGTCGCGGGTGCCATGGACACACACATAGACAACCACAAATTACACCCAAACTCACGAGAGAAATAAATGTAGGCCATACACATATTTCTCCCGGCCTGGGAATCGAAAGGACCTCTGCACGGCAGTCCGGCATGGTAACCGTTCGGCCACGGAGGCAGTTAAAAAATATATGTAAGACGGTAATTGTAACAATTTACATAAAATTTAAAAAGGGGTAAGAATATTGGATAAGATAATGTAAGCTTTGAGTAAAGTTTATAAACAATAGAATTTTGATTGAGAAGTAAAAAGAGCGCCTATAAGATATGGTTTTGAAAGTATAGTTGACAGATTAAATACAGGAGACTAAAAAAAAACATACGTCCCACTAATACACACTGATATCTTCTAAATAAGGCTTTATCCACACACATTAGATTATAAGTTGTAATACTAACAAGCCATGGATTGTGTCCGAAATAAAATCTTTTATCATTATTATAAACCCTCCATGATGTGTTCAAAACTACGACCAGCATAAAGGTTGAAAATATTATTATTGCTTAATATTAACATCAAATTCAATTTATTATTACATTTTAATTTCGAACATCTTTGAAAAACAAAACAATTTGATTCGACCTCAATTCTAATTTCATTTGAGATGAAGTTTTATTCGAAAAGAAATGTCAATAGCAAAAAAATTTGACAAATTTCACACGTTAATTGATATTAAACGACACGGTAGTCGGCGCCGACTCTAGTTTGTCTATGAATTAAAAAAACTACGGTCGCGTGACATGCGAGAGAAATGTTCTTATTTGCCGCCATTTTGCCAGTCGTAACATGCGGTTCCTGAACACATCATAGAGAGCTTAGAATAATAACGCATAGAATCATTGACTTATAAATAAATGGACGACGGGTCTAATACAAAAACCACGAAAAAAATGTCCCAAGTCAACCTATTTAAACGTAGTGACATGTAAAGGAATATGAAAAAGCTAAAACGTTGAATTTAAATTGTAATGTCATCGCAGTACTGTCTAATTTTGCTTGCTTCGCTGTCAGTCGAACAAACGAAGACTAAAGCGTGAATGACGCTCTGTATACGATTTTAACGCCCTATAAGTTCGGACACTTTTTAGCGCGGTCCCGACGTCCATATAATTGTAAGTCAATGCATAGAATGATAGTTTCATATAAAACGAACTGTCACAAGTGAGGCAAAAATCAAATTCATGTAGGCTAGTTTTAGTAGTACGTTAATTTTCGGTTTTAGTAAATATTTATATAAAAATACAAGTTGAAACGCGTTACTTCCTTGTGGAATGTGATGTTAGTATCTATTTTATGTTTGTCTGACGTATTTTTACACTCATTTACCGCACATTTCGTCATTTTTAGCTAAAATTCTGGAGCTGTTCGCGGTGCAAGTTGACCTTGAGCACTGAAGGCCGCTCGTGTAGGCCCATTGGGCGCGCTTCAATTTGCCTCACTTAGCGTGTGCGGGCTAGGTTTCTATGCGTTATTATTCTAAGATAGAGAGCTTATAATGTGTGTATAGATAAAGCAGTGTATGTAACTGTGCCTATTTAGGCATTAAAACACACGTGTGATGTTTTTAAATCCATACTCGTATTGTAATGCCTTTCATTATGCAACAGTCATAAACTACTATTAGACCATTGTCCGAAACGCTAGTCCAAACGTTTTCCAGAGTTGTGATTTTCACCGTTAGCGAGAAAACTTAGGAATTAAAGTCATAAATTAAAGTACGTACGTCTAATGGATTCGAACGAATGACTTCTGAAATGAGAACCAACCCTTGTCTCACTATGCTACCATCGCTCAGTTATTGTCACTTCAAATAAATTACTAAATAAACCTTCTAATCATCACAAGCGCAATCATAATGAAAATCATATTATGCAATTATTTTACAACTTCAATGTAAATGTAATACTCGTTTTTCTTATCCATTTTACTTTTGTAATATTTTATCAATTTTTTCTAAGAAGTGATTACCATTTTACGAAATTTCTGATGGTATAAAATAAAATAACATTTTATACATGAATCACTTTTGGTTGTACAGTGATCCAAATACACTTAAAACAATACATTTAAAAAATGACCGTGACTGCATTAGTTTTTGCTTTAGCCTGCATTGTACAGGTAAGGATTTTATTATTACAAATTTGAGTTTCTATCCACCAAAAGACACACTTCTGTGCACGGATTATATTACTTACACTATAAGATGAAGAGTCCAGGGAAAGAATAATCAAGGTCACTTGAGGGAAACTTTGGGAAAAAATCATTTTTAATTCGGTAAACTGTTCAATGTTGATAATAAACAACATACAAAAAAGCCACTTGAATTAAAGCCAATGTTGACCAAATGTATGTAATCCATTTTACCTAAAAACATTTATAAATCTTGTTCAACTTTTCTACCATTTGGTCTTAAGCATTTTCTGCTTATAGCTAAAAGTAATTTTTTCAGGATATAAAACCTTATTATCCTGATTTAAGAAAACATGCTCATCGTTTAACGAATTAGATAATGGTATTAACTCAAAACATGTTTTTAGGCGACTTACATCGTTCTTTACAAGTCTCACTATAATTATTAGTAATTATAATTATAATTATAACTAATTATAATCATAAATATAAGTAGTTTCTCGTCTTAAACGAAACGCGTGCCCAGAACTGGGACTTTTATACAGGTAGCTTCAGTATACAGACGCACGGTTACATATCAGAAGTCCGAAATTACATTTGCCCGAAATAACGTTTGCTGGAATTCTCATAATCTCGATAATAATTTCCCACGCATTTTTTTATATTACAAAACATACTTAACCTAACATAGCCTTCTTCGTCTTTGCCATAAGCGTCCAACATATCCTGAAAATGTAACGGTTTCGATATAAATTGGTTTTCGGGATAATGAAAATTTATGGATACATCATTTCGGGGAAATGTAACTTCGTACTTCTAATCAATTAGTAAGTAATGTTACAGTTCGATATCACAGTGTGTAGAACCTTGGTTTCTAGCTAGTCTTCAGCACCCTTAGAGCTATCACGTTTGTTGGGGTTGCCAACAGTTACACCTTATTTTATCTAAGAGTTTTTGGTCTCAAAAAAATTCCTTTTCAGGTTACACTAGGACAAGTGATTTCAATAAACAAAGGCAATGGATTTGATGCTAATGGAATCAAATTCCATGGCTCAC